CTGTGGTCAGCTGTGCTCCAGTAGCTGTGGTCAGCTGTGCTCCAGTAGCTGTGGTCAGCTGTGCTCCAGTAGCTGTGGTCAGGGCTTGATGCTCCTGGCACAGAAGGCTGCGCTCACCAAAGAGCCAGCGGGCCGGACGGTGCCATTTCTAGCGTTACAGTCTCCTTGCTAAACACCCCCAGCATTTATTGGAAATGGATGGAAATCAGAACTTTATTTTCAGGCCTTTCTGCAATAGCCAGCATGTTTACCTCCTCAGTAAATGTAGTGAGTTTATTTGTTCGTTGTGACTCAGGGTCTCACTGTAGCCCAGGCTGGCCTTAAATTCACAGCGATCCTCCCTCTTTAGACTCCTGAGTGCTGGGCCTACAGGCGTGCGCTGCTGCATCCCGCACTAAATGTAGTTTCTGACAGGAAAAAAAAGATTTTCTGCTCCCCCTCCCACCCCCCATGGGAACACTGAGGTGAGGAGAGGGAGGAACCTCAACACAGGAGGGGGATGTGCTGCTTTCCGCCCTCCCTAGGTGAGGGGCGTTCAGCGCATCTGTGCGGGTGAAAGAGAGACCATTTCCCAGGAGGGCAGTCAACCTTGGATTAGCTTTTTTCTTGGTTAAAACAGAAAAGCGAAAAATAGAAAATAAAGTGAAAGTTAAATCATCCACAATCCTGTAGCAGAAATAACCATTAATATTGAAGTTTAAAATATTTTTAAACTTTTTTCGATACTGGGGATCAAACGTAAGACTTCACACAAACTACTTCTCTACCCACCCAACCCCCCTTTTTCCTTTTTGGGGGAACCAGGGATTGAACTCAGACCCTTGTGCTTGCCAGGGAAGCGCTTACTCCACTGAGCCATCTCCCTGGCGCCCCCACCTCCTTTTTTGAGACAAGACCTTGTTAAGTAACCCAGGCTGCCTTAAACTCATAATCCTCCTGCTTCAGCTTTCCTGATAGCTGGGATTACAAGCCAGCAAGAGTGGGTGTAAAAACCTTATAATAGGGGCCAGGGAGATGGCTCGGTGGAATTAGCTCTTCCCTGACAAGTGCAAGATCCTGAGTTCAATCCCTGGTTCCTAAAAAAAAAAAAAAGCCTTATAATAATATCTGCTGGCATGGCTACAACCTTATCAGTCGAGATTCCCACAGTTAGCCTAAAGGTCATTAGCAAGTTTTGACCATCATAAATAATAACTAATATCTTTGTACCCAAATCTTGTCTGAACCTATGATTTTTTTTTTTTTTTTGAGTGTCTGATTTTTAACTTACAATAAAGTTCTAGAAATGAAATGACTGCCAGCATCCAGGTTCTCCATTCATATTACTGAAGCACTTTCCAGAAGAGTGTCCCTTTATATCTCCCCAATGGTGTCATCCCCTCCGGTCATCCTTGCTAACTGACATTAGACTCTGCATTTCCTGGTGCGACGCCAGCCACAGGAAGGTAAGATGGAATTGAAGAACCTGCAGGTTATTGCAAAGGTTCCCAGCCTGACAAGGAGACTTAGGAGGGAGGGTGAGGTCCTAAAGCCCCAGAGCTGAGGCAAATCCATCGACCTGAATTAGCAAAATGCTCCACCAATTTGGTTAAGCACAGGAAGTCTGATCCCATTAGGGTCTGTGGGAAGAAAAAAGGGAAGATAGATTTGATTTTTTTTTTTTTTTTTTCCAGAACCGGGGATTGAACTCAGACCCTTGCACTTGCCAGGGAAGCGCTTATTCCACTGAGCCATCTCCCCGGCCCCTGGAAGATAGATTTGAGGGGTCTTTCTGGCCTTTCCCAATAACTCAAAGAAGGGAGCAGCCCCGACCTCACGCCAACACTAGCATCCATGCTGCCTGCTTCTCCCTTGCCTTTTCTCTTACCCCTAGCTACCAAGCCCTTCCTGTCCTGTCCAGAAAAGAAACCCAGATTAGCACACTGCTGTCGCATCAGGCCTGCTGCGCCCAATCTGCTGGCTCCCATACATGCAACCAGGGAGCTAACCGCAGGCAGCTTTGGAGCCCAGGTGCCCAGGTGCACTGAGGTTGAGGGGCTTGAAGGATGGACTAAGGATTTGGGGCTCACATGAGGTGGGAAAAGATAAATACAGGTAAAAAGCTCTGGCTGTGGATAAATAGCAAGATTTTTTTTTCAGACAGGGTCTCACATGCATTTGAAGCTGGCCTTGAGCTCACTTTGTAGCCCAGGCTGGTCTCAAAACTCACAACTATCCTCATGCCTCAGCCTCCAGGGTGGTGGGGTTACAGATGTGCACCACCAGGCCCAGCTAATCATTTTCTTTCTTACTCCAAAGCCCCAAAGCAGATATGGAAGGAAATGAGGGGCCTCTTGAAAACCATCCCACACTGAGCCAACTGTGGTGGCCCACACCTCTAGTCCCAGCTGCACAGCTATTCAGGAAGCTGAGGCAGGAGGACCAACTGAATCTAAGAGTTCAAGGGCAGCCTGGACACCACAGCAAAGCAAAACAAAACAGGAGCAGGGCGTGGTGGTGCAAGCCTGTAATCCCAGCCCTGGGAGGCTGAGGCAGGAGGATTTCAGTTTTGAGCTAGCTTGGACAGAGTAAGATCTTGTCTCAAAAAGAGAAAAAGAGGGGGCAGGGAGATGGCTCAGTGGAATAAGCCCTTCCATGACAAGTGCAAGGGCCTGAGTTCAGTCCCTGATTCCGTGAGAGAAAAAGAGGTGACCCCTAGCGCTCCTTTTGCCCTGGATCATCATCATCTCTTAAGTTTTCAATGTTTGAATCCTGGAGCCTCCACAGGGCCATGAAGGGAGACTGGATAAGAGTAAGATTTCCTCCAGTTGGGGGGCTGGTGAGATGGCTCAGTGGTCTAAAGCACCTACTTAGAACAAGCTTAGCAAAGCACAAGGATGGTGGTTCAATCCCCCAGCACCACATGCCAGCCAGCCCCGCCCCTTGGTGGACTGAGCTGGCCACACACACATAAATAAATTAAAAAAAAAAAAAAAAAAAAAAAAGATTTCCTCCAATTGGTAAATCACACCTTTTGAGCTAAAAGTCTGTCCTCTTTATATTCAGATAAGGAGACTTCAGGTTAGCTTTAGACTGGAGGAGAAAACAGATCAGATTTTCTCCCTTCTTCCCTTTCTTACATCCTTCTCTTCAACAAATACCTACTCGTGAATTTAAATGGTGCACCGAATCATGGATTTGCAGAGTCCTGTTTTGGAGAGGCTAAGATTTCCCTCTTATCTCTAGACAGAATTCAGTTTCCCAGAGCTGTAAGGAGAAGATTGGGCAGAGATGAGACATGAGTCAGCCTCTGATGCCCCAGGTTGGCATACCTGTCTGCTGCCCTCACAGGCATTCCTGGCTGGGACTCAGCTGCGGGGAGGATTTGGGGAGCTGGGGGGCCGGCCACCCTGCAGAACCTGCCTTCCTTGCTCCACACAGAGCAGGAATGGGGACCGATGGGTAGGCCTTGTGGACAAGGTGAGGTATTTAAAGGAACACTGGACAGAACAAGGTTAGAGAAACTTAAATTTGGTAAGTCAGCCAGAAGTCTGGCCACTTCACATTTAAGACAGCTTCCTTCCTGGCCCTTGGCTGGAGTTAGATTGAGAACAGTATAGGAAGGCTTTTTCTTTTCTTCTTGTTTGGTGGAACCAGGGATTGAACTCAAGCCCTTGCACTTGCCAGGCAAGTGCTTATTCTACCGAACCATCTCCCCAGCCCCAAGAAGAGCAGTCTTGGTGCCAGCATCTGAAACCAAGTTTCCCTGGAAAAGTGTGGAAAATAGGGGTATGAGTGTGTGTGTGTGTGTGTGTGTGTGTGTGTGTGTGCTGGCAGTGTGAAGGAGCACCTTGCTTTTCTGGAAGGAATCAGTGGCCTGCTTGACCCCAAGGCCTTGGCTTCCTAGGAGCCTGGTTGGTGCAGGCTGTCTTGCTATCTGACACCATGTCTGTGGAGCTAGAGAGCCAGTTTGGCTTTGCCTTTTGCAGTAACTATACATAAGAGAATAGAGAATAGAATACCTTCTGTCAACAATTTTAGGTTGCAAGTTTTCCCTATACCAGTGTTCCCCACACACACACAGGACCAAGGACCTTTGCACTTAGTTATATCCCTAGGCATAGCCCTTTTCTTTCTCTGTTAATATCTACCTTCCTTTCTTTTCTTTCTTTCTTTGGCACAGGGTCTCACTACACAGATTGGACTTGTAGTGATCCTCCTGTCTCAGCCTTCCCAGCACTGGGATTACAGGCATGCGCCTCCATGCCTGGTTTCAGTGGCCAGCGTGGTACGCCCAGGGTTCTGGGGCTGGCACTGCATATGGTACCGGGGATCAAACCCAGATACTTGTGCTTGCCAGGCAGGCACTTAGACCACCCACCGAGCTATCTCCCCAGCCCTCACAGCCCTTTTCTGCTTTTTGATTCTCATTAAATTTTCTGGGCTAGGATTGAACTTGCCATCTTTCTGCCTGAGCCTTCTGAAGCGCTGGCATTGTAGGCATGTACCACCTTGCCTAGCTACCGCTCAAATGCTTGGGAGGAAAAGATCTTCACAAACTGAGCCTGTTCCCTGGAGACAATCTGACAGTGTAGAAAGGACCCAGGGCTGGGGTCACGTGTATCTCTGTGAACATGGTCTCTGTCTGGGCAGCTCTTCCTCATCCCCAGAGTCAGGCATTTCTCTATTTCCATAAAGGATGGGGCCAGCCAAATAGCGCAGCAGATTAAAGCAGGAGGTGCAGGGGCCAGGGTTTGAACCCCCCCCCCAACACCCTGCGGTGCCAGCCCGCCCCTGGGGCGTGCTGAGCTGGCAACTGAGACTGGTTATGTTGGCTGCGCACCTGTAATCCCAGCTCTTAGGAGGCTGAAAATAGGCGGATCACCACGAGTCTGATCTAGTAGTGAGACTGAGAACAACCCGTACACACTTTCCTAAAATACAAAAAAAAAACAACAACAAAAAAAAAACCAAAACAGGATGTAACTCTAACCTGGTGGCCAGACATTTGGAAGGATGCTTTTACACCCAAGATTTGAGCACCTTGTGGTATGAAGCTTGCTGGAATCACTATAGGAAAAAAGGGGGGACATAATGAAACAGTTACCATTTATAGAGCACTCGCTGAGAGAAATAAACCCAGGACATAGCTCCAGATGCAAAGGTAGAATTAGATAGGCAATCATAACCTAATAAACACATCTTACATAAATGCCAGAGGTTGGTAAGCCAGGGTGTCCAAGGTTGTACATGTTAAAGGAAGAGAGGCCTTGAAATTTGGAAGAGATTAAAAGAATATGATCAACTGGAAGGGATGAATGACCACCACAAAATTTCATGTGAAACTTGGCTTCCTTACCCAATTTGTCTTCTGGGACTGGTATGGGTGTGTGTGTGTGCACGTACACATAAGCACTTGTGCACACACAAGCACTGAGGTCAGTGATTTATGTGTGCTAGGCAAGAACTCTACCCACTAAGCTGCACTCCCAGCCCAGAGACAGAGTTTTTAAAATTGAGGTATAATTGACATACTTTTGCATTGTGCAGTTCCACACATATTAACCAAATTGTACAACTGTTTAGAACACTATTTTGAATACTTCACCATAGGCAAAGAAACCCTATACCCATTAGCTGTGGAAATGAATTTTGAAATGTCTTTTAAAAAAAAAAAATAATGAAATGTCTTCTCTAGACCAGGAAAAGATGACAATAAATGTTTACAGAGAGTTTGTTTTGGTTTTGGGGTTTTTTTTTTTTAATCCTTTTTTTAGGGCCAGGGAGATGGCTCAGTAGAATAAGCCCTTCCCTGGCAAGCACAAGGGTCTGAGTTCAATCCCCGGTAAACAAACAAACAAAAAACCCTCAAGAATAAAAACAGCAGCCCCCCCACAGCTCCGATGACTGTTGGTATGAAGGGCCCTTCCCAGAGCCAGAGAACTCAGGATGGACAGAAATGCGCGACTCCAAATGGAACCGCCTCATGTTGTAAGGTAGGAGTTAGTGGGCAGTAGAGTGACCCTAAAAAAGGACTCCAGGACATCCTTCCACTGTTGGTAGCGCAGAACCCTAGCCCTAACCCCAAGAACTTTAACATGGTGAATTTTAGAAGAGAAAAAGGAGGACTAGAAATGAAATCTGTGTAAATTTGAAAAACGACACTGGGGTATGTTGGGTGAAGTGGGATAATCTTTTGTTCTTACTCCTGATCCCTGCCTCCTCTTAGGAGAATTGATTTAATGTGCCTTTAAAAAAAATTTTATTTTATGTATTTTTTTTTTGGTGGAACCAGGGATTGAAATGAGACCCTTGCGTTTGCTAGGGAAGCGCTTATTCCACTGAGCTATCTCTCTGGCCCCTAATTTTTTTTTTTTTTTAAATGCAACCTTTTTTTTTTTTTTTTTTTTTTTTTGGCGGAACCAGGGATTGAACCCAGGCCCGTGCACTTGCCAGGGAAGCGCTTATTCCACTGAGCCATCTCCCCAGCCCCAAATGCAAGCTTTTTGATTAAAAAAAAATTACAACACACCATCTAGGTCAGCTCATTTCTTTCCATATAGGACAACCTTGAATGGTCTGGAGCCTACAGGTGAACAAGTCACAGGCTGAGAGAAAAGAAGGAAGTTCTTTTCCCAGGACCTACCCCATTAAAAGAAAGTCACCAGACCTGTCTGGTGATAGACACCAGGTCCCCTCCAGAGCTGTCAGGAATCACCTGCCCTGGCCCGGAGACAGGAAATGAGGGGAAGACAAAGGGACCCAGCAGGCATCAGAGAGCCCCTTCAGCCTCCCCTGCAGAATTAGGAGCTGTGACACTGAGAGCCCATCAATTGTGAGTCCTGTGAATGTGGCCGAAGTTGGCGCGATGAGGCTGGACTGACTTCCGTCTTTGGCAGTGAGGCTGCTCCTCGGTGCGCGGCATGGCCGATTATTCTGCTTTGGGCACAGAAATGGATAAATCCTAGACTTCCCCATTATGAAAGGACTAACAGCTAAGAGGCATTGGGCACGTAGCACGGTTACACCACAGGCGTTTCTTCGCTCAAACTTCGCAGCAACTCTAAGAGGGAGGAAACGTTTCAAACCCCCGCCCCACCCAGTTTCATGAATGAGCCCCAAAGTCGAGCAGTGCTCAAACTCGCACCCACCCAGGCGCTTTCTCCACAAATCGTAAGTCTTCGCTCTCATTGGTTGGCAAACCTTGAGTTTAAGCCTCTTTATCTATAGAGAGGAAACAGGCCCAGGTACGGCTTTTCCAAGGTCGCAAAGGCTGCCAGGGACACAACCCAAGCCTGCTGGCCATGCAGCCGGGGCCGCCTCCAGAGTGCGGCGGTGGCGTCTTCTAGCCGGACCCCGCACCCCCGCCCACGGCATGGCCGCTGAACTGCAGGAGCGGATGACTCAAAGGGCGAGGACTGAGGGGGCCGCGCGCTGCGCTCTCGGCCCGGGCGGGCGACGACTTGCTGGAGTGAAACCGGGAGAGCGCCGCCCCCCGGGAGGTCAGCGAGCAGCGGAGACTCCGCTTAGCCCACCAGCCAGCTGCGGCTTCAGCCCAGTGGAGGTGGCGGCGGGAATCGTCGCTGCGCGCGCGCCGCTACTCACTCTCCCATTGGCCGAGCGGGCCGTGGGGGCGGAATCCCGGGCAACTCCCTTCTGTGATTGGACGGTAGAGATCCCAAACCCCGCTTGCATCTCACCGCGGTGAAGGTGAGACTGAGTGCCGAGGTGGCTGTGGCCGCCGCGGCTCCCGGCATGTTGCTGCCTGCCGCAAGTCAAGGCTGTAGGCTAGGATCGCCAGGCTCCCGAGACCCTTCCCATCCACCTTGCGCCTGTTCCCCGACGGCCCGTTTCCGTCTGCCCCCACCCCATGACGCGGGTCGGAGGGCTAGATGGGATTTCTCCCGGCTTTAAGCTTGGGGTCTTTCCGGTACTCGCGGCAGCATGTCCCAAGGTCTCGTCTGCGGGCCACTAGGCCAGCGCCAAAAGACAGAACCTCTAATTATATTTCAGTCCCATTCCCAGCCCATGGCCAATAACTGCAAAGACAGGAGTGTCACAGCGGAACTTTATTGAGAGGAAACGTGGTCACACCCAGCAGACGCGCTTTCACTCTCTCTCACAGTCACACACACGCACACACCCTTCTCCAGCTACTGCCGCAAGGTCCAGTTCTCAGCCCCGGTGGGACACTCCTCGGTTCCTGAGATCCAGAAGCGGCAGGGGCCAGAGGGAGGCACGGAGTGGTGGTGGGAAAGTGGCCGGGGTAGGAATGGGGTGGGATGGAAGGGGGCGCCGGGAGCAGAGGTGGGCGGGGTGCCCTGCAGCCCGTGCGTGAGAGTGGATCCCGGCCACGTGGCCTCGGCGTGGCTGCGACCCCGGAGGGGGCCTTTCTGGGCTGGGGCGGTGCACTCGAGACGGTCTGGGAAGGACCGGGCCTCCCACCCTGTACAAGTCCTCTGGGCAGTGGCTGGGAACTGGAGCGGGCAGGGCAGGGCAGGCAGCGGCAGGCAGGCTCAGCTCTGGGGCTCCTCAGGAGCCTCACCGGCCTCTTCCCCGGCGTTGTCGACTGTCCACAGCGACAGGTTGTCTCTCAGCAGCTGCATGATGAGGGTGCTGTCTTTGTAGGAGTCCTCGCTGAGTGTATGCAGGTCAGCCATGGCCTCGTCAAAAGTGGTCTTGGCCAGCGAGATGGCCTCCTCCGGGCTGTTGGCGATCTCGTAGTGGAAGACAGAAAAGTTCAGGGCTAGGCCCAGGCAGATGGGGTTGGTGGGTGGCATCTCCTTCTTGCTGATGTCCATGGCCTCCTGGTAGGCTGCCCGGGCAGAGTCGATGATGCGCTTCTTGTCGTCACCAGTGGCCACCTCGGCCAGGTAGCGGTAGTAGTCGCCCTTCATCTTCAGGTAGAAGACTCGGCACTCGGCCTCCCCAGCCTCCTTGATGAGGTGGGAGTCCAGGAGGCCCAGCACGGTGTCGCACACGCCCCGGAGCTCTGTCTCCACCTTCTCCCGGTACTCTCGGACCTCAGGGCCTTTCTCCTCCGAGCCCTCCTCGTTGCTTTTCTGCTCAATGCTGGACAGAACTCTCCAAGCAGCCCTCTGGCCGCCCACCACGTTCTTGTAGGCCACGGAGAGCAGGTTTCGCTCTTCGCACGAGAGGTCCTCACCCTTTTCCACTGCGCCCTTCATGAAGGCTGCCATGTCCTCATAGTGCTCGGCCTGCTCTGCCAGCTTGGCCTTCTGGATCAGACTGGCTCTTTCCATGGCTCTAGGGACAGACGGTCGGGCGGCGGGCTAACTGGCTGCCAGGGCACCGATGCCGGGTTCTGTGCCTCTCCTGCTCTCGGCGTGCCTTTTGGCTGGGTGGCCTGGCCCTCAGAAGGGTGGGGAGAAGTAGGGGCGGGACTGGGACCCAAGACCTGCCTCCTGCTCGCCTCTTTCCCCACACCCTTTCCGGCTCTTCCTTAAAGGTAAAAGGGCGGGGATGTGGAGGTGAGTCACCGGGACAGTCAGCAGGAGAAACCTGGGTGTGGGCTCCACCTTCCGAGCTCCAGGCTGCCCCCTGCTGTCCAGAGGTGCATTGCAGGGCACCCCTGGAAACTGTCCCAGATCCTCCTCCGCTGCGAGCGGCCAGACCCAGGAGGGTGAGGTTCTTAATCCCGCCAGGTATGTTTCCCTCTTGGTTCAGGTGAGATAACTCCTGTGTAGGTAAAGCCGCAGTTCCCAAGCACTTTCCCAGCCATGATCTCATTTAATCCGTATGATGTCTCTGAGCTCCATGGACTGCAGAAGTGGGAACACTCTCAAAACAGGTGAGCTTTGCTTAAGATTATGCAGCTACTAGCGCCCCAAAACTCTTCCCCTGAACCCTGCAGTGGCTTTTCTCCCATCGAGGCCTCTGACCCGTGAGCTCCAGTCTCTGGAGGTGGGATTCGGTTGTCTTCCTGAGTCTCCCTGAAGATACACTAGTTCTACCCCTTGTGCCTCACTCTCCCACTGACCGCCCAGAATGCACAGGTGGCAGCTTTCAAAGTGCCACTTAATGAAACGTTTAACAAGCGGCCTCTGACGCTCCAGCCCAACGTTTGTAATTAGTCACCAGTAGGTTTGTTGGACACCTTCCCCATCACAGCACAATCTTCCCTTTCAAGTTGGTGGCCTGTTGCCACTTGTCTGAAGACGTAGCCTCTGACTCTCCACACCAGGTCACCTGCCCCCTCCAAACTGTCTGCCATGAAGAAGTGTCAGCTGGGCTCCTGGAGGGTGTGGCCCCAACTCGGCTGTCCCACTTTCCAGCCTGACTCAGACTGTCCTCGGTTACAGGCTGGAAAGCAGGCCACCTGAGTGCTCAGTCCAGTTTGGTCCCCCAGGGGAGACGCTAGCAACCTGGGGAGAGAGACAGGACTGAGGAAAAGGAGGCTTCGGTGACACATAGCCTTTGGTTTTATGGGGTGGTAATTCCAGCTGAGTGATGTCTCCCCTAGCCTGCCTTCCAGAAGTTTCCCTGTCCTTTCTTGTTTAACTGTGACCCCAACTCTGAGAACAGAGGCCTCAGAAATGGACATGTCTCTTGCCATTCATCTGTCCCTGCTTGCAGGAGGTGGGGGCTGGGAGGTGGGTTCTGCAAGTTTCACCAAGAGCATCACTGAGAGTTGAGGCTGAGCCTTGGAGGGTGGATGCCTGCTTATCAGCCCCACCCCTAGAAAAGCTCAGATGGGGCTCAGGGTGGGGCCTCCCCTGGGCTCCAGCCAGTCCAACCCTTGCATCCACATCTCCCCTGGTTCCCAAGCATCTGGGCACTCACTTTGCTTTCCTAAAGAGGGGCTTGACCCAGGACTTAAAGGGCTAAAGATGAAAACTGCCTCTTTGCCATAAGGAAAGGTAGGCCCAAGGGCCAGGGAGATGGCCCAGTAGAAGAAGTGCTTGCCTGGCAAACGCAAGGGCCTGAGTTCAATCCCCGGTTCTGGGAAAAAAAAAAAAAAAGTAGGAGCAAGTCTGGGCTAATGCCAAGGGGTATCCCAGGAAGAAGAGGGATTTTAAGCCTCACACCCTGAGGCTTTGCTCAAGTAGGAGGTTTGACATGGGAACCAGTAGAAATTACCAACTTTTTTTTTTTTTTTTAAAGAGCAGAATATATTTATTGGGGGAAAGAAAGCTCCTGTTCAAGAGAAGGACAAAAGGGGGACCCTTTTTTTTTTGTCTTCTTTGGGACAGGGTCTATGCAGCTCAGACTGGCCTTGAGCTCACCGTGTAGCCCAGGCTGATCTTGAACTCACAATGATCCTCTTGCCTCAGCCTCCCGAGTGCTGGGATTATGGGTGTGCACTACCATGCCCAGCTAAGGGGTACGTACCTTTAGGTAGAGAGACTCTAAGAAGTATACCCGGTCCTTTTTTTGAGATAAGGTCTCAGTAAACTTCTAAATTGCCCACACTGGGTATGAATTTACAATCCTCATGCCTCAGACTCCCAGAGCGCTGGGATTATGGTGTGGGCCACCATGTACTGACAGTTTTCTTTCATTATATTGTTCTCTCCAAATTATTAATGGTGAATATGTTATTTTTCTATGAGTGACAGGATAGCCTGGTATTTTTGGAATCAGACTGCCTGTGTTTGGTTCTTCCAAACTGCTGTAGCCCTGGCCAGTGACCACCTTTCCAAGCCTCAGTCTCTCTACTTATAAAATGAGACTTGTAAGGATAAATAAGTGAACAGAAAGCACTTAAAAAGTGGGTGGTAACAATCTGTGAAAAAGCCAGCCAACCTTAATATTATAAACATATATAAAGAAATACTAAATACTGGGTTCTATGAAATGAAGACGGGTCCCAAAGAAGGCTTTAGCTGAAGACCAGACCCTGCCTAGCTGTATGTCTACAAGGGACAGAAAGGGCAGTTTGCTCCTGCAAACACAGTCACATGGCTCAGTGCTGCCTCCTTCCTCTGTCCTGGAGACACCCCTGGTCTCCCAGGCTATGGGCCCTGAAGGACGTTCCTTTGTAGGAACCTCTCAGGTCATCCAGCCAGAGCTTCCCCAAGTCCTGGAGGGAAATCTGGAGTAAGCTGTCAAGGCTAGGAATTCTGGAGCTTCTTCTAATTCTAGAAAAGGAGCATTCTCTTCCTACTCCTTCAGCCTGGGGGCTTGGTAGTGGTTGACAGCACAGGTTCTAGGTCCTCTGCACACCTGGAGCCCCTTTACTCCTTTTCTGCTGAAGCTCACAGGTGAATCTGGAAGCCGGGCTACCCGACCCCCTCCTGCTGGCTCTGGCCTGTTGATCCTGACTCAGTTCCTGTCTGTTACCTCCCTTTGCCTCCAGGCCTCTATTTCTCAAGTCCAGGAGCACAGGCAGGCAGGAGGCAGCAGGCCCTGGCGGGACTCAGAGCTCCACATCAGCTGCCTGAGTCAGCAGGACAGTGGCTGAGCTGCAGCCCAAGCGGGCTTTCCCCATCCTGTCTGCCCCTCTCAACTTTTCTGGAGCACCCATCTCAGCAGCAGCTCACAAACCTTTGGCCCATACTCAACCAATCCTGCCTTAGCTTGTAGCAGCAGGCTTTGAAGGCAGAGAAATCAGTTGCCATCTATCTCCACTGAGAACAGAAGAGGCCAGGGCTCTAGTAATCCAGAAAGAACTTCCTTTTTTTTTTTTTTTGGTGGAACCAGGGATTGAACTCAGGCCCTTGCGCTTGCCAGGGAAGCACTTATTCTACCAAACCATCTCCCTGGGCCTGAGAAAGAACTTCCTAAGAAATCCCTCCATCTCTGCAATTCAAAATAATGAGGTAACTACCAGAAGCTCTAGCACCTTCTCCTCCTGGTTAGTTGTAGGAGGCCAGTGATGCAGCTGAGAGCTTTCTCTCCTAGTTGCCTTTGGGAAGGGATACTAGATTACTTTTAAGTGATTCAGCTGTCCTGAGTTGTTCTCCTCAAGGTACTGCTGTGCAGCACAGCCCACATCTCCTGAACCAGTCTGGTCTAGGAGATAGTGGGGAATTTATGCAAAGAGAATGGAATGAGGTCAGGGTGTGGGACTGCATTCCAGCTCTGTTATAAGGCCCTGGGCAGGCCCCTTCCTGCCCCAGGGTTCAGCTTCCTTAGCAGATCCTGGAGGCCACCCCTGTCGTCATCACTAAGCCCCCTACTGCATGTAATACAGGGCTTCTCACGACCTGGTTTTCCTGAGCCACACTCATTCCCCAGCAGAGCAGCAGGGGGAGAAATCAGGTTCCAGTCTCCTAGATCTGCTGCTCCGCTGCTGTGTGACCCGGGCCGGCTCCCAAATGTTCCCCAAGCCTCAGTTCCCACATCTGTGAAAGGGCTGACATCACCTTCCTCTTGGGTTAAGGTGAGAAAACGCCCCGCACCCGGCAAGCCTTTGCCCAGTGGCAGCAGTGATTAGTTCTTAGACCAGAGGACATTGTATGTTGTAGCAGGCAAGAGAGGTGCCATGGGACTGTGGCCCTGGGCTGGGCTCAGTTCACGGGTGTGAGCCGTAGACTGGTTAACCCATTGGTTCCAGCCTGGACTGGATAGAGCTTTTCAGAGTTCAGGTCAGCTAAGATTTGAAGAGCCTGGACTGGAGATGGGTATTCTGAAGGGATAGAGCCAGACTGCTGTGCGCTGCTCCCATGTCCTTCCTGGTTTCATTGTCTCTTTTAAACTCCAGTACTGACCAGCAGGAACAAAGCTGGAATCCAGGTAAGCCATGATCAGCACGTCCACTGCAGGCCCACCTGCAGAGCCAGAGTCAAAGCAGCACCAGTCAAGGGTTTGGCAAGAGGGGACTCTTTATTTTGGTTATAAAAGGTATAGGACAGCAGACAAGCAGCCCCTAGCCCTGGGCTTAGCTGATCTTCGGGGGCCTGGTTGGGCTTCCTTTGGATCCTCTGAGGAATGTGGTGCCTAAAGCAGAGGACAAGGTCCCCGTGCATCCTACCTACCAGGGTGAGGGGAGGGGAGGGCCGTGAGAACGATGTCAAGCTGGTTGTGCTTTGAACAGTCACCAAACTTGTTCAGCAGCGTCATCAACACCCCAGCCGGCTCCAGAGGAAACCTGCTTTGCTTGACTATGGCTATGCCAGATTTTGCTGATTGGGGGGAGGCTCTAAGACTGAGATTCTCAGTCTCCTCGAATCTGGGGAAGGGGCAGTGAGGGGAGGAAGAGAAGTTTCAGCATAGTATGACAGCATTGCGCTGGCTATGGCTTTCTACACTCTGGCCCACCATGGAGTGGAGGAGGGGGCAACAAGGCCAGTCCCTGCCCCATAGGGGGACCTAGAGAGCACACGTGTAGGACAGACGAGGGGGGCAGACCCTGTAGGCACAGATGGTGGCAAACGGGCCACGGTTTAGGCAGGTGGAGGTGCCGGGCGCCTGGCTCCCCCCAGGCCGCTCCTGGAGAGGCAGAGAGCAGCAGTCCTCAGAAGGTCCTTAAGCCCTCGCACACACTGGAGATCCCGGCAGGGCAGCAAGGAGGAGAAGAGAGAGGGTTAGTGGATGCAGGGCTGGCAGCTGCCACTCCGCCTGCCTCTCCCCCACAGAAGGCACCAGGCAGCAAAGCAGGACAGAGAACGGGCAGGTGAGAGAAAGCTTAGTGGGGACAGAAAGCCAAGACTCAGGAGAGTTAGTGACCAAAGGCCCCTGCACACCAGGATACCACCAGAACAGGCCCAGGCACCTCAGAGTGGCCTCGCCCTTCACCTCCTCTTCCAGTGGGGGGGCCACTCTGCAAGAAGCCATTTCCTCAGTCCAGCCCCACTGGGGGGAGCCCTGGGGACCTGCCACCGCCAGCACACACACCACACCACGCACCAGACAGATGGAGGGGCTCCATGGGTGGGCAAGGCATGCGATGATGATGAGATGGTGTGTGAGGGGAGCGGCAGTGCTGGCCGACGTGAGAATATGGTCTTACCAGCTAACCCTCTGCAAAGAGGCCTGTTAGCTCCCCTCAGGCTGTGCAGGAGATGGCAAAATCCTGACAGGTGTCCTCCTGGGAGAGATACCAGAGAGGTGGGCCCATATTACGAGTTGTCTGGTTGGGCCCTGCTGCCCAGGCAGGGCGGGTGGTGGTCAGGGAGGCTCTGGCTGTCACACTGGAATCTCCATCTCAGACATTTCTTAGCTGAGAACTACCCAGAAATCAGGGGGAAGGCAGCAGGCAAAAACTCCAAATCCCTGAGGCAGGGAAGGGGACAGGATGGCTCTGCCAGGCACCCTCTGCTTTTTCCCTTCAGAAGACAGAGCTCCAGCAGGTGAGGAGGCTTGAGCCGAAGTGCCCAGCTGCCTGGCTTCTGTCCCCCAGGAAACACTCCTAGGTCTCAAAGAACGGGAGTGGGGGTGGGGATGTTGTCAAATGGGTCTCAGCAAAGAAAAGCAAACAAAAGCCAAACCAAAGCAAATCAACTCTTAAAAACAAAAGTTTTATTACAAGCAGGAACAGAGAATACTGGCTTAAATAGAAGGCAGGAGGGAGCCCCCTCCTGTCAGCTCCCTCCCTGCCTCCCAGGGCCCTGCAGGATGGCTCAGGGCTCTGAGGGACAGGGGCAGAGCTATTTCCCCCAGGGGGCCCAGTGGCCTCTGGAGCAAGAAAGGGTGAGACTCACGACCACACCCTATGTCCCTTTCCAAGGACTTCAGCCTATCTGAAGTTCCAAGGAGGGGGGAGAGGGATGAGTGTCTAATTAGCTAAGAAAGGACAGCGCCCGGCTTTTTGCCCGGCTTCTTGCCTGTTGGAGGCCAACCTCCACTTGCCTCTTGGCTTGCCCTGCCACCACCCTCCTTTGCTTTTGGTGAAACCTCTCAGTTGGCAGAAACATTCTCCTTCAGACCCTGGCACTGGGTCCCATACTCAGAACTCAGAGGAGGGGGTGTGGCTTGTAGGATGGCAGCCGCTCCCCAGTGCCATCACCCCACCCACCACTCCCAGCCTCAGCCTGTCTGGGCAGGTCCCAGCTGGAAGCCTAACCCGGGGACTGGGTGGCAGGGGGTGGGGTGGCAGAGTCCCTGGCTACTGGGTTTCTGAAGTCCATAAAGAGGGGGGCTGTGCCCCAATGAGAGCCCAAGGGTCTCTTGTAACAAATGCACATCTCCTGTCCCCACAGCTCAGGCTGCTCCTGAACCTCAACAGGGATGGCGGAAGGAGGCAGCCTGGGGATGTGGGAGCCAGCCACATTCACACAGGGACACATGTGAACACACACACACACACCACACACACAGCCAGAAGGTCTCTTGTAACAAACCTATTCAGGGGGCCAGGGAGATGGCTCAGTGGAATAAGCGCTTCCCTGGTAAGCGTGAGGGCCTGAGTTCAATCCCCGGTTCCACAAAAAACAAAAAAACCTATTCAGTCCAACTAGCCTCCTGACAACCTTTCACCTGGCACTACACACACACAGCAACATGGCTGACTTCTTGCTCCTTTTAAAAAGGCTATGTAAAAAAGAGGTCTATAAAATTGTGCAAAATACCCAGCATTAATAAACCCGTTTCAAGTATTGCCAGCATGAGCATAACCTGCCCGTCCTCAGCTCTGACTTCGGACAGAGATGGGACAGGCAAGATCCTTTATGGAGCCTCCATGGGCAGTGGTAGGCGAGGCCCCTTTCCCACTGTGCTGCCCAGGACTCTGGGAGCGAAGGTTGTGGATGCCTGGCTGGTTTGCCTTCCTCAGACACAGGCTGTGCCCCTAACCCAGCTCTGTCCTACTGACCAACTCCATATAACATCCTCAAACCCACCAAAGAACCCAACAGAGAAAGAACAATGATCGCTATGAAGAGAAAGCAGAAGCCCTCAAGTCAGAGCAGCTCCTCTCCCAGGCCTATGGGCCAGAGCGGGTTGAGCAGTTCTGTGTAACTGACGCCCCTGGGTCAGCAAGGCTCACAGTGCCCCAGCTGGAGGCCTGACGCTCAGGTCACACCCTCACTCACACAGGGCTCACCCTGGCACAGGCAGACACTTGGCATGGTCCCCTTGGTGGCCTCCAGAGGCTCGGGCTGTCCTGACCCTTCTGCCACTGACCAAGGCCCAGGGGGACCTAGGACCCAAGGCTGTGGGAACTCAGGTGTGGGGAGGGTACAGCCATGGAACCATTCAGGGAAAGCCATGTATGGTGGGAAATAAATACGAAAAGACGTGAGTCTGTGGCAGCCTTGCCTCCCTCAGGTGGAATGGGGAGGGTCCTGGCATGTGTGAAGGACAGCAGGTGAGTTCAGAGGGGCAGACAGGCCAGCAGGTGGTAAGCGCTGAGCCACATTCAGGGGTGGCCTCCTACCAGGGTGGCATCTGGCTTGGCTCCACAGGCTGGCTCTTCACTTCTGATGGGCGAGGGCAACACAGTGTCGGGCTGCACAAATCCCCTCCGGTCAATGAGACTTCCAAAACACAAGGATAGAGACAGATGAGGGATGTGGCCAGCACCGAAGCTCCAGGCCAGGGGCTGGATAGCAGAATCCAATTCCTGGCCAGGGAAAGACCCAGTCCCAGAAAGGCTAAGGAGAGGGGAGCTGCTCTCTGCCGGTGGGCTCCAGGTCCTGCCTTTTATAAGAGATTGCTCTGCCCTGTGGGCACCTGGCTTTCATCACCGAATTTTTCAGTAACTTGCCTATCTGTGTATCTGCCAAGACACCAAGATGCAGATAGGAAAATCAAGGATGGAGGGGCACTTGGAGATAGTGAGATTCCTGTGGTCCCCCTTCAGGCAGGACAGGTAGCAGGAATTCCGGGTGGGGCCAGGAATGGAGGGTGCTATTCCAAAGTGTGCATATAGCACTGTCACGTCCCTTCTGGAGCTCTGGCACCCCCTGGTGTTAGGATGGAGACTGCTTCCTGGCAGGGCTGAGCCACTGGGGTCTCTTCTGGCAGAACTTGGCTGCCTCACCCAGTGCCAGCAGACTGGGCCACGTGGCTCAACTGTAGGCATGAGAGTCATTTCCGCCATCTCTGGGGAGCAGGGGCATATGTAATATCCAAATCACTTTAGCGTTTTTTTGTTTTTTTTTTGTTGTTGTTGTTTTTTTTTGCAGAACTGGGGATTGAACTCAGGCCCTTGCGCTTGCCAGGGAAGCACTTGCTTATTCTACTGAGTCATCTCCCCAGTCCCTCACTTTATAGAGTTTGTACATAATTTTTCTTTCTTTTTGGTATTAAAAATTAAATGTAGTTAGTGCCTTTGTGCTGAGCTACATTTCTAGCCCTTTTTTTTTTTTTTTTTTTGCAGTACCAGGGAATCGAACTTGGGACCTTGCTCTTGTCAAGCAGGTGCTTATGCCACAGAGCTATATCCTTGGCCCTCCAGCCCTTTTTAAATTTTGAGACAGATTTTCAGTAGGTTACTAAATTGCCCACGCTGGGCTTAAGCTCAAAATCTTCTTGCCTCAGCCTTCTAGAGAGCTGGGTTCACAGACATGGTGGTGCACCACACCTGGCTTGTACTTTGTTTTTCCTACAGTGAGCACAGACGACTACGAATGACAAGCCTCCAACCAGTTCCTTTACCTGACAAATGCTAAATGCATTCAACAGGTAATGGTTCAATAGGTGATATGTCCACGGCACAAGGAAAGGTCTGCCGAGGCCCAGAACTTCCTTGAAGGGAGCTGACTCACGGGACCCCCTCTCGCTGTGACCCCTCCCCTGAGCACCATCCCACCGGCTTACCTGGGAGGTAAGGGGCCACAGAGCACAGCACAGCAGTTGGTGATAATACTTTTATGGCTGTAGGGGTTGACAGAGGCCTCACCACCCCTCTTGTTGGACCATGAGCCTTTGATCTGTACACAAGGAGGAAGCCTGTGTCAGCTACCTTTTTAAAAACAAAAACAAAAACAACACAGGGCCAGCCAGATAGCTCAGTGGATTAAAGTGCCTGTTTAGGCAGACGCAGGGGGTTTCAATCCCTGGCGTGCTGTGCTGGTCCTGCCCCCCGGGCATGCTGAGATTGCAGCAATTGAGACTGGGTGTGGTGGCATGTGCCTGTAATCCCAGGGCTTAGGAGGCTGAGAAAAGGAAAATCACGAGTCTGATCTGTGTAGTGAGACCCTGTACTAAAATACATTAAAAACAAATAAATGAGAAAACATAAGTGCTGGCAATTGAACCCAGAGCTTCATGCGTGCTGGACATGCACGCCACCACCAAGCAGCACCCCAGTACCCCAGCCAAACTTCTTTCTGCTTTCTTTTCTAGGAGAGAGGAAGGTGCAGAAAGCTGGAAAATTCTAAAAGCCAGTTGTAGCTAGACTATGAAAGGAGTATGTCTTTAACCCAGGCCATTCAATGAAAACATAGGGGATTACTGGATGGAAGGGGGTCTCCAACACTGATTAGAAGGCCCCAACCAGGACAGAAGACAATAAAACCAAAGAGAAGTTTCCAGAGGAAATTTGTTAGTGACCCCTCCCTCTTCTAGCTAGCCACCACACAGAGAGGGTGGTTCTGGGGTCACAGGGCCAAGGCTCGCTTGGCTGGGAACCCTAGCCCCAGCACACCAGCTCCACCCCTGGACAGATCATCTGAGTCTGTCATCTTCTGAAAAATAAGGACAATGCTAGTTCTCAGAGAGCACTGATAGAGCATTAGGGGACAACGCACCCCTCTCCAGCTCTGTGAGATCCGCTGCCAAAGGCACTCGGGGTTCAGCAGTCAGAGGATCCACTTGCCTGCTACCCGGAGTTTCTCTATTTATTGGGCCCTGATGCGCCTTTTTGCTCAAGCTCTGTAACATCTGGCACAACTGGCACCCAGGAAACCTCTCTGGGAATGCTGGCTGTCTTCTCTTCTGCTCTCCCCAGTTACCCGGTACTTATACCCTAGTGCATGCAGTTTTGCTTCTGTCTGAAGGGCTGAGGTCATAGGATGTATTTTCTGCTGAATGATGGGTCCCTCTGATCTGTATCAGATGGCAGGCCAGGGAACCTGTGCTCCCATTTGCTTTTTATTGTTTGGAGGGTGGGAGAGGTCAAGTATGGCCCAGGACTGGCACAGTGAGTGCTCAAACACCATTTAGTGGTGGGGTGGTCTATAGGGGAAGAAGTAGGGAGGCTCAATGGAGCCCCACCATTCTGTACTGGCTGCACCCCTCAGTAAGGATGCCTAGGGAGCCCCCATCACAGTTCTGTTGCCTCCAAGTGCAGCATGGTGGGACAGAAAGCACAGCCATGACTGCTAGATGCCAGTCCTGGCTTTGCCGCTTCCCAACTATATGACCCCGAGGCACATCTCTTGAGTCATCCAGTGTAGAGAGGCCTCCCCTGTTTCTGCGCCTCAGGCTGGACAAAAGGACCCAAGGAGATGACAAACTGGAAGAAGTCCTAAGCAGTAAATGTACTGGTCAGACCCAAGTGCTATGGTGTGAATGCTGCCCTCTGGGCTTGTGGGGAAAGCAACTGGGGGCCTTGGGAGCCTGCACTAAGGGAATGAAGCATGAAGGGGCCTCAGAGCACGCAACAGGTCTTCCAGGGCTGGACCCTGGGTGCTGGGAGAGATGCCTGGCTGCCCTGTACCTCCGGCCAGCTTCCCCTAGCAGACCCCAGGCAGGACTGCACCTGGCCACCACAGGCTCCTGAGGCCCAGCCCCAGCCATACTCACGTCTTCATTAGTTGTCAGGTTGGAGGCGACGAGGTACGTGTGAAACCCTGAGAGGCCCAGGATGGACCAGATGGAGAAGAAGCATATCACCAACTCCAGCACAGTGGGCCAGTCAAGGACACACACGGAGGTGCAGGCCTGGGAGCTCACTAAGCTCAGCCCTTTTTTCTTTTCTTTCTGTACAGAGATTCAAACTCAGGACCCTGTCCTTTTTTTTTTTTTTTTTTTTTTGGCAGAACTGAGGATTGAACTCAGGCCCTTGTGCTTGCCAGGGGAGTGTTTATTCTACTGAGCCATCGCCCTGGCCCCCCAGGGACTTGAGCTTATCTGGCAGGTGCTGTGCCACTGAGCCACAACCCTGGCCCTCAGTCTTTCTCATCTAGCCTTCCCTGGAGCTACTTCCCAAGAAGGAGCACATTATGGAACCTTTCTATGGCCCAATCATCACTTCTCAACAGAATTACATCCTGGGACCCCAGGAGGGCTTAAGAGTCCCCTAAAGAACAAGACGAAATTGGGATATGGGTGACAGAGGGTTCCAACACAGGGCATAGAGCATGACATGGTCCAGAAAGTGGGCCATCTTAAGGGACGTGGTCTCTTCCAGGACCCTCAAGACAAGGACAGTGCCTCCTAAGAGTTCTCTGACAGCCCAGGTCTATTCAGAATCAACTCCAGCCTGGGTACGAACAGAAGCAGCCAGTATACTGGATTCCAGAGGTCAGGGATGGACTCTTGCACTCCCCTGGGGGCCCTGCCCAGCCAAGGGCCTTGGTCTTGGTTCCCACAGGCATATCATCTAGCTGGCAAAGGATATCTCGCTGGCGTCTCCTTCAGAGTGGAGAGGAAGGTGCTTCCCTGAGAGCCTGAAGAGGACGAGAACGGGACACAGCTCAAAGGGGTGGTGACTGGAGCCTTTTGACCTGGCTCAGGCCACTGGCCAGTCCCTCCCACTTTACTGTCCCAACTCACGCAGTGTCAGATGGGTAACAACACAGGCAAATATGAAGGCCGTAAGGAAGGAGAGGGAGAGGATGAATGCGTAGAAGAAGCGATAGTTCCGTCTCCCAACACAGTTGCCCACCCAGGGGCAGTGATGGTCAAAGCGTTCTGGAAAAGGGGAAAGGGCGGCAGGTTAGTGAGGTCTGGCCCGCAGCACAGGGGTACAGAGGCTTCACCCCACAGCTGGGGCTCACCTAGTCTCTCCCTCCACACAGCTAACTCTAGGCCCCTGGCCATGCCCTGCTTCCAGTCCCCTGTGCCCAGTTCCCTCTGCCATTCTTTTCTATCTCTTGCTGGGGAACACTAACTCCTCCTACATCTTTCAGCTACAAAGCCACTTCCATAAAAAGCCCCCTTTGGCCCAGAAGACAAGAGTGTCGGGCTGGGGAGACAACTCAGTGGTCTAAACACCTGCCTGGCAAGCTCAGGGACCCAGGTTTGATCCCCAGTACCACATGCTGCACCAGCCCTGGAACCCTGGACAACCTGCCATGCTGGCTGCTGAAACTGGGTGTGGTGGCACATGCCTGTAACCCCAGCACTGGGGAGGCTGAGACAGGAGGATTACTACAAGTCTGAGCTGCATAGTAGACCCTGAACCAAATAAATAAATAAAGATTAAAAAAAAAAAAAAAAGACAAGAGTCTCCTGGTATCTGCTCTGTTGTTCCTTTTTTCACAATGCACTGCCCATGTGGAGTTTTGGACTTATTTACAAAGATCAGAGTGGCTAACTGCCCTGCTAGACTGTAAACTCCATGAGAGGGGCTGTGGGGACCTCACACTGTGTTGATTCCCTAGCACCCTGCACAAAGACCAAGTATCTGTCTAACCTACTACTCCAGCTGCACGCCAACAACCTGTTCCTTGATCTAGGATGGACTTGAGGCCCAGGGAGGGGCCAAGGCAGAGGGCTGAGCTCACACCAGCTTTATGTCCCCAGGGGCAGAAAGTCCCCGTGGGAATGTGGGTCACAAGCCTGATGCAAGCCTCATGCCAAGGCTAGCACCTTTGCAGGAGGCGGTGGGGCGGACACTCAGGGATGAACAGCACCCACTGAGTCACCCACTTCATCACTGTCTGCCGTCATGGGTGGCTCCCCACTACCCTCTTGCCTGGGGCATGCTGAGCTGGCAAGATGAGGTCACTGCCCTGAGAATGGTGCACTGTCACCACGGCTCAGCTCCCCTGTGTCTCCACAGAGCATCTTGCCTTATGACACCTTCCCAGAGCAGCGGCGCTGGGTGGCCTCCTGAGAGTGCGCACTGTGGGTCAGCAGTCAGCTTCCAGTCCTAGTTACATCCTCTTCGCCTCATTAGCTCTGGATGCCGAAGGTCCCTCCCCAGCCCTGGGAACCAGATCAAAGTCTGCAGTGCTGGGTGGTAAACTATTTTCTCTGGAGTCCAGACACATCTGGGATGCCCCTGCATCAGCCTCTCCCAGGGACTTGGACCTATGGAGGTCAGGTTAACACCAGTGGAGCACCTGAGGTTTCTCTGGGTCCACCGAGCACTTCAGAGCTCAGGGAAGGAATCAACCTCCTGGGCTGTAGCCAAGGGGTCACTGCTCACACTCAGGGCCCTTCCTAGACAGGGAAAATCTGGGTGAACCAGACCTGCCGCTTAGCCCTGGGTATTTTAGACACTGTGCATCTTGCCCTACATATGACCTCCTGTCCCCAGGACTCAAGTCTCTCAGGGATCCCTTCAGGCCTCCCACTCACCCACACAGTTGTCACAGACGCTGCAGTGTGAGGTCCGGGGCGGCCGAAACATCTTGCAGGTGAAGCAGTACTTTAACTTCACCATCTGCCCGTTGATCATCACCTCCCTTGTCCTAGGGGGTGGCCGGTATGTGGAACTGCCTGTGTTGTCTGAGAGGGAGAAGAGAGAAAGGTAGGTGGAGCCCAAAGCAGCCAGTGCAGGAGCCCCAGCCGAGACTCATGGAAAGGGGTGCAACGTTAGCCGGGCATGGTGGCACATGTCTGTAATCCCTGCCCTCAGGAGGCTGAGGCAGGAGGATTACTACAAGTTCAAGGCCAGCCTGAATTACATAGCAAGACTGTCTCAATCCCAATCCCACCAGAGAGAGAGAGAGAGAGAGAGAGAGAGAGAGAGAGAGAGAGAGAGAGAGACAAAGACAGAGAGAGACAGAGAGACAGAGAGTCAGAGAGAAGCAATGCCAAGGAATAAGCACAGGAGTCAGGCACTGTGATCAAGCTTACACTGTTGTTCACACACCTGCTGGCCTTACTCAACTCCGAGAAGGGCCACCGGGGGGATGTCCCCAGAAGGTTTATGCCCAGCTAACCAAGCCAGCCCCTAGGATCTAATTTACAGAAGATTCAGGACACAAAGGAACAAAGTAAACAGCCCCATGAGGAAAGAGAGCCAGAAGAGAACACACCTGCCACACCACCAGCTATTCTAGTCAGTCAATGTGATGTAGAAAAAAAGAGGAGCCACCTGTGGTGGCACAATCCTGTAATCCCAGCCACTCAGGGGGCTCAGCAAGAGGATTACAAGTTTAAGACCAACCTGAGCAATCTTTGAGTTTGTATCCAAGTTTTTTAAAAAGAGAGGGGAGCTGGGGATGTTACTTAGTGGTAGAGCCTTGTTCATGTAGTAGGCCTCAGCACTACAGACAGACAGACAGACAGACAGACAGACAGACAGACAGACAGACACACACACACACACACACACACACACACAGGAAAGATAGTACACCTTATCTACTTCACTAGGGATAGAACCCAGGGGCTTTACATGCTAAATCCTCAGTGGCCTAGGCTGGCCTCAAACTCACAGCGACCCTCCTATCTTAGCCTCTCAGCGCTGGGATTACAGGTGCGTGCATTACCAGGCTGGTCTTGAACTATGTACCCGAGGCGGGCCTCAAAATCAATGCAGTCTTCCTCCTTAAGCCTTCTTAGTTCTGGAAATACAGTTGTGCACTCTATACCTTGCTATCCTCAGTCCTTTTTCTAATTCTGAAACAGGGTCTTAAGATTTCCAATTGTCCAGGCTGGGCTTGAATTTGCCACCATCCTGTCTCAGCCTTTCAGAGTGCTGGGATACCAGGCACACACACCCATACCCAGTGAAATGGTTCTAAATGAACCATTAGACTTAAAGGATTGATTGATTCATATTTTGTTTTTTTGAGATAGGGTCTCACTTTGTATTCAACATGGCCCTAAACTCCGTAGTCCAGGCTGGCCTCAAACTCATAGCGATCCTCCTACCTCAGCCTCACCAGTGCTGGGAGTACAGACTTATGCTGCCACGCCATGCCCGACAGATTTAGAAGATAACACACAAAGAAAACCCAGAAACAAAAGATATCTGGAGGACAACTGGGGAACTATGACTATGAACTAAAAATTAAAGAACTATTAATTTTTCTAGATAAAATAATGGATTATATAAGACACCATCCTTATATTTTGAGGCTACACATCAAAATATTTATGATTAAAGATCTGATGTCCATAATGTACTATGAAATGATTTAACTTAATTTTGTGGGTGCTGGAAATCGAACTCAGGACCTTGTGCTTGACAAGCAGGTGCTTGTGCTAGTGTG